ATGAGTGTAGAGAACTGGAGACACTTTTTACTGGAAACGAGGTATTCCATCTTAGTCCTCACCGGTGAAAACGCATCTGCATTTTGTTTTGTAATCAAGGATAGATATAGATGTCTATGGGCCACAGCAACCATTTACCATCAGGTGGACTGTGTGCTCGTTTGTCACCCTTATCACACAGAGAAACTCCGAGCATAGCAATTTAATCTATACATATAATAAAACTGTAAATAGCAGATGTCTGTACATTTTATATTTTTGTAATAAAAGTGATTGAGGGGTACTAAAAATAAGTAATTAAATACATTTCTACCATTATTAGAATTTTCTGTCTGTCTGTCTGTCTGTCTGTCTGTCTGTTTGTTTGTTAACGTATCACGTTTAAAGTACTAATTTATATCATAAGAATTGTTAAGGAAATTATAAAGTAAACCTTCGGGTTACATTTAGTCTTTATTTCATTAAAATCGGTTCATTCCATCAAAAGTTATGATAAATATTCTGAAGTATGGGTAGGGAATTTGCTCAACGGTGGCTTTGTTTGAGTCATCAAGTTGATGTTAGCAGCGCCATCTCTCTTTAAATATATACATATAATAAAAATGATGATAACATGTTGTGTCTCTTTCTGTACATTGTATATATATATTATGGTGACTAAAATCATTATGGGGAACTAAAAATAATTAAATAAGTACATTTTTATAATTTTTAGAATTGTCTTTCTGTCTGTTTTTATATGAAAGCATCACGTCTAAAGTAAACATCTTTTTTTTTTCAAAGAAATCGTTAAGAAAATCATAAAGCGTATCTTCGAGTTACATTTAATCTTTGTTTTATTAAAATTGGTTAATTCTATCGAAAGTTATGATTATTATTTTGAAATGTAGGTTCGAATCTGTTTAATGGCGCCACAAAATCTCAGAAATAGTAATAAAAAGATACGTGTGTAAAAAAAAATGTTCTATTATAATATATTTATACTTAAAACACAGTAAAAAAAAATATGTTTTCCTTAAATTAAAAAAGGATGTTTTCTCACAAAGAACGTAATAGATGGCGTTGTACAAATTACAACCTTTTCTGAATTGCGGTGTTAAGATTTTTCGCAGGTGAATCGTATTGACACTCACTGAAAAAATTTATGTTCATGAGTCCGACGAAGCTGCAAGCCTGTTAGAGCCGTGTAGGCTAACAACACAAAGCACAAACACCGGCAGAAACAGAAAAAAGAGACGTACGTACGTCGAAATTATTCAACAAAACTCGAAAACTCGACTAAAAGTAGTAAATTTGCAATAAATGTCGTGATATTGTTTTATACCCAGAATCCCTCTAAACCTCTAATACCAAATAACTTTCCTTACAGTTTTAAGATACGGATAATAACATTATAACATCGATGATGACATCGATGTTGGCATCGATAGCTCAACATCGATGTTCGATGTTTAGGCTACTCAAAACATCGATGATGACCATTATCGATGGTTTTTGTATACGTGTAGATACTTACACATTGTTTTAAAATTATGTGGGTATACACATCAAGGGAAAAGTAACAATTAACTTGAATATCAATTTACGTAGAATAGTTATTATGCGACAACCGACAACAACACTACAAAATAAAGCGAAAGCAGTGACCATTGTGACATCACAGATGACACTTGACAATTAAGTTTGACTCACCATACTGACATTTTTTTAGGTTAACGATGCGTTCAGGAATTCTGAATTATTCAAAATTTTTAATCTTCAGAGCAGATGCAAGATTTAGTTGATATTGATTTCGCGAGTTCGCATTGTTTGCAAGTTCCCAATTATCGATTATGGGTTCATTGACGTCGATGTTTCGATGTTTGACATGTGTCAACATCGATGTTAAAACATCGAAGTTTTAATTTTTAACATCGATGATCATCTAACATCCCTATTTTAAGTGTGTTTCCCACTCAGCGTGTGTTATGCGACGATCGTAAATAAAGCGCAAGGTCAAACTTTACGCGTTGTAGGAGTGGACCCCAGTACTGATTGTTTTGCACATGGCCAACTCTATGCCAACCTTTTTCTGTACGCCCCGGCTAAGTCTACTTCTATCGTCGTTTACACGGAAGCTCTATCATAAACAACTTAGAACTTTGAGCGTATCGATTTATTTTGTTACCACTTATTCATACAGTAATGATATAAATCGTTTAATATTCTCTTACCCTAAACGTCAAATTCTTTAAGTAAAACCTATATTCGCGAGCTACGCCGCGGGCACAGCTAGTATTAAATAATTTCCATAAAATTTAATAGCTTCTGAAGTAGTGTATCGAAGAATTAATGTCGAAGAGGAATATTACTTGGTAGATATACGCTGTAGTGGGGCTGCAGGGTATTATTGTTGCAACACGTCACCTCGACCGGGAAGGACCACGCATGTACAGAATACCAGCCTGAATAGCAGCGTAATGCTGCTGACTTTGGTATGGTGAGGGACAAGAACCGGAGACCCTTTCTACTGATACCGAGGCATTCCATTTTAGTCCTTGGGAGTGACAGTAACAACATCTTTATTTGGTTTTAGTGGATTTCTGTCAAGAACTTCTTAGTTTGACTCATTTATTTTGTGATTTGGCGGTGTTTCAGCCCGTGCCTTGAAAAGTACGAAAAGCTGGTGGTCCATCGTCTGATCTCTCCGGTCGTGTTTTTTTTTTATAGAATAAGGGTAACAAACAAGCACACAGTCCACTTAATGGTAAGTGGTTGCTGTGACCCATAGACATTTACATTTATCCTCAATAAAGAATTAAAATGCAGATGCGTCGTTACCCGTGAGGACTAAGATGGAATGCCTCTTTTCCAGTAAAAAAGGTCTCCGGTTCTCTACACTCACCATACGAAACACAGCAGTGTCAAGCTGCCATTTTACGCTGGTATTCAGTGAGAGCGTGGTCCTTCCCCGGTAAGCCGACCCATTCGTGCTACAACTATACTACTAATACAGCTGCAGCATGACTCTATCACGTACAAAATGTTGTATTTGATGAGACCAAGAGAGTGATGAATAGAGAGTGCATCTGTATATGCAAACTTTGCCTCCTTTAGAGGTGCAGTTTTTTCTCCAAGTTTATACGGGACCACTCCTGAAGTATAATATATAACCCCTGGAATATAATATAATATAACCTGTTCACCAAAAAAAAAAAAACATCAAAATAGGTCCTCAATTAACTAAGATATCGCGTAACACTCATAGAAAAACATACAGTCGATTTGTTAACCTCTTGTTTTTATTGAAGTTGGCTAAAAATCGAGGATATTAATAATATATTTTAAACTTTCTATAAACATTAAAATCACATACTTATATAAAGTGTAAAATATATTTTTAAATGATTATTAGAAGAAATAAAAATAAAAAATACCTTTTTAAAATTTAGGAAAAAAGATCATAGTATTGTTTGTTGTATTATTATTCAGTTGTATATTTTAATCCAATAAAAAATAAAATAAATAAATAATTTGGTAATTAAAACTAATTTGAGAAGGACTCGGTTGTTTAAAATTTTTATAAGATGTTAATTAGTGCATGAATGTAGACTTACGATAATTGCCAGTCAAACGGGAAAATCTATTAAAATGTTTTTGCCCAATAATATTAGTTTTTTTTTTATATTTATTTAATTAATGCAGCAATTAAAGCAGTTCAGAGCTATTATGACTTCAGAATATTTGCTTTTATTCCTTTTACTTATTATATTTTTTAACTCATTTATGTAACATTTCATACACAACCATAATTCAATATTTATTACATAATATACATATTTCAATATTTCGAATGTTCTGTATTAACTATAAAAATTAATTTATAAGCTACGGTATAAATTGATTGTCATATATTTAAACGACAAGAAAATTAAAATTCTAAGCTTGTTACATTAGCATTATATGTGCTGTCCTCTCAATGATCTGTTAGCGCGATACTTGGGGCATGCGGTAGATGCCTATGCTTCAGAAGTTCAAGAGCGCATCTATACGTTTGTAGGCCCAGACAGGGGCGAGTAAGGGCTAGAAGTCGAGGCGGGGCGAAGCGGCGCAGTGCGACGCTATCGAACGGGCTGCTAGCATCGGGGAAGTGGGGGAAAACGACGCCGCTAGGGCTTGCCCGCGATATACAGCATATCGATGTATCGAATGAGAAACGATCCAGTTTAATCGATTTATTTTAATTTTTAATTTATCATATAATGATTGAAATGCAATTAGTTTCTTGATGATGAGAGAGACGAATTATTTCTGTATATTATTTTAGAAAATTATATAATGCATAGCACGAAATTATTCTAGTCAGTAAAACTGATTACAAACCTAGCAAAGGCCTTTTAAACCCCAGCTGGACTTGCCTTTGCAAGCACACGACGGCTGTGTAGTATAAGTTGGAAGAATTGGTCATAATCATGCCATGTCAACAATGGCACGGATGATACAAGCTATATTGTGCCTAAGTCTGAAATTTAGTCGTTAACCAACATATGTACACAAAATATACCTATAGTATTTTTAATTTTTTTTATGCTTAAATTTATTGTTAAGCATTATTTATTATATTATTCTCAAAAACTAGTGTTATTTTTTTTCATGATTATCAATACAGCCGATTATAGGTCACTGCTGAACAAAGTAATATCATAAAGCCCGGTCCTGCATCCATTGACTTCCTGCAAGTCATAGCAGACCGTCTTTCCATTCAATAATGGGAAATAAATTTTCTATGGTAACAGATTTGTGTGTATCTTATTCATATATTAGTAATTTTTAATTTGTTTATGTTGTATTTTTATCTTATAAATAACTTTAATATGTTGATTGAAAAATCGACCCTGAATATAGGTTCTCGATTAATTATTCGAAATCGAAACATGAGAAATAGTTGATGCGCGGCGGTGCTAGCGTCGCGTCGGTTGGCTCGGCGGCGGCAGTGTGCTGGCAGCCCCCGTGAGCGCGGCATGGGTGGCCCGCTGCTGCTGGCGCTGCTGGCGGCGGCGCGGGCCAGCGAGCCCAACGCCACCAACTTTACCACCCTACAACCCGAAGACGAAAAGACCCCCCTCTTCCCCCCAGACTTGTTCACGGAAGAACAACGCCGGTCCGGCGCCGTTGTGCTCCACGTGCTCGGTATGGGCTACATGTTCGTAGCGCTCGCGATCGTCTGCGACGAATTCTTCGTGCCCGCTCTCGATGTGATCATCGAGCGGCTCGCGATAAGAGATGATGTCGCCGGAGCCACGTTTATGGCCGCCGGCGGCTCCGCGCCCGAACTCTTCACCTCCATCATCGGCGTGTTCGTTTCGTTCGACGACGTCGGCATCGGAACGATCGTCGGCTCCGCAGTTTTCAACATTTTATTCGTTATCGGTGCTTGCGCGTTATTCTCCCGTACAACTCTGTCTCTCACCTGGTGGCCACTATTCCGCGACTGTACCTTCTATTCGATCAGCCTGTTAGTGTTGATTTATTGTTTTCGGGACAGCCTGATATACTGGCAAGAGGCCTTGGTGTTGTTTTCCTTGTACGGCGCGTATGTACTGTTCATGAGGTGGAACCAACCAGTGGAGAAGGCTCTGAAGAAACTGATCTACAAGAACAAGGTGACGAGAGTTAGAAGTACTGATCAGCTGATGCCTACGGTAAGCTCGCCCGCACACCCTGCATGTTTAGTATTGATGTGGATTTGGTGTATGAAATCATACATTTATCAATTAGATTTCATTTTCTTTAAACTATATTTTAATTATAATCAATCCCAAATCTACTTCAATCAAGAGTAGGAACTTTAGACTACTTTAACTTAGTATACGAAAGCTTGATACATCTTGCGTTTTAGTAAAATAGTAACATTTAGTAAAATATTAATTTTATGACTTAATCGTCGATTAGCGTCGATGTAATATTCTATTCATTCATAGATTATAAACTATACGTAAGTTTAATTCTGTACAAAACAAATAGATAATAATAAATGTATATTAAAGAATTTCGATATGAATTTAAAAACGAATTCGCTACTTAAAACGTCTGATTTCTTTTGCTTTAGCTCTGTTTAATTATGACTTTAGGTAGAGACATCGTACTTAACGTGTATGTCATTGATGGCCGGCTGTTTGTAGTGTGGATTTAACTTGTTTATAATGAGGTGTCCTGTTTGAACCGCGTTGTTATGGTGACCTCTCAGACTCAACTGTACGTTGCATTACGTAATAATGGCGTGCCTAGCTCACGTGTAGATGTAACTCGATTTTAACGATAACGCTCGTGAATTTTTATAGTAACTGTTAGTAACTTTGTCGCTTTACGAGAGGATACGGGAAATTAGGTTAAGTTTTCTTTTAAGGTTATTCTTACTCGCGTGCCAAGTACTCCCTGTGGAACTATAACTATTAGTTTCCTTATAACGTACTCGTAGATTATAATGGTCAAGTTTATAACAATATTTAATATAATAGGTTTAGTAATTACTTTATGGAGAGTTATTTCAAATATAAAGACTATCTTTATTTAAATTATGATTATATTAATAAGATTTATAGAATTACATTTATTTTAACATTCTCTATCCAGAATATTAATGAATAATTAAAAATAATAAAATAACGTTTATTAACATTTATAATAAATAACTTTACATTATAAAGAAAATAAATAATAGATTTTACTAATTAAAATATGATGTCATTTGTAATTGAAAAACAGTTTATTACTGTTTATTCTTAGTATATTTTAAGCTTTTTTCTTCAATTTGGTTTTTGAATGCAGTGATTTTTGTGTTTAAAATATTTAAAAAAAAACTGTTTCGTAAACTAAATGAAAGCAAATGAAAACACTCAAAACTGTACTTGTTAAGGTTAACCTCTTGAGGAAACTATTGTTTTAAAATATACCGTTATATTATATAACAAAACGTCCTCATGATAAACGACTGTTACGTAAGCAAATCCGCAAACCACCGTTAGTATTGTGCACGTTCTATAGTAGCGCGGCAACCTCTACAAGCACGCTACGTCGTAGCTCGCTACGCTTCAGGTACGCAGGCATCTAGCTCTCTCAACTAAGAAAGAATGCATTGTTTCGTAGCTAATGTTAACTTAAACCCAGAAATTTTAGGTTTTACTATTTACTCTTGTTAATCATCCATTATACACTTACGGCCTTACTCATATAAATCAACAACTCATGAACTATGGATGAGTCAACTTATGAAATGCTTAAAATGCTCTCTCTCTATCTTCACTAAATGATAATAGAAAGAGACAGGCAGAACATAGGCATCCACTACAGATTGATAGGCGGAATATGGCAGGTCTCAGACAGATCCTGCTGCTCATTTCCTGTTTCAGTTTCCATCTAAATATGGAATTTAACTATCAGCCCGCGTCGGCAGTACTATATACCGCGTTATTTTTATATTCTACTAAATTTTAACCCGGCGCTTGTGTGCGTGCGTGTGCATATACTCGTTCACTCTCTAGTATTACAGCTTAAGCACAAGCTGGTTAGTTTGAGGGAAAAAGTACCACACTCTTATAGAAAATCAGAGTAAAATAGCGGCATAATACTGCTGACGTATGCGAGTGATGAAAACCAAAAACATTTATTTTATTGGTATCGACGTATTCAATCGTATTCTTAGGGATGAGATGTAGATATTTTATAAAATAAGCGAGCTCACAGTTCATCTGTATGTAAATTGATACTGTGGTCATAGACATCTACATCTATTTTCGATTAAGAATCAAAATGCGCTGTCACCACTCAGGACTAAGATCAACTCAGGATAAATCGTTTTCAGTAAAAAGAGTCTCCGGTTCTCTACACCCATATTACGAAATCCACCAGCATTTAGCTGCTATTTTAAGCTATTATTATGTGAGAGCGTGGTCCTTCCCGGTAAAGCCGACCTATTCCTGCTACAATCATATTGTAGCTGCAACATGGCTCCACTACTTTTTACGATTCATAATCGAAGATAGATTTACTCGTGTACTCGTTTAGCAGCCTTATTTGTATTAAAAAAAAGCTAAAGGTTTTACAAAAACCGCGATAGAATAACATAACTAAATTACGTTATGTTATAATAATTCAGAATGAATACATTTTTCCAAATTTGTAGGTATAAGCATATGCTCTCATTTCGGAGATTCCGAATGTCTTTTTTTGTCACTGTTGCACCTGAATTTCATGAACAACATTAATTAGCGTAGAACACAATACATTTGGATATGAAGTGGTGTACCATTCCGCATGTTTTAATATACTTAAACTGCATACAGTTTATTGTTTACATCCATCAACGTTCCCAGGGATTTTTTTTTATAAAAGTTAGAGTGACAAGCGAGCACACAGTTCACCTAATGCCAAGTGGCTGCATGGTCTATATCCTACATCTATCATCGATTTAATTTGCAGAAGCTGTGTTACTCTTGCTGACTCTTAGTCAGCGGTATGCCTCGTTTCCAGTAAAAAGCGTATTCGGCTCTTTACACTCACCTTACGAAACACATAAAGCTGTTATTTTGTATATTTTTCTGTGAGAACATGATTCTCCAATTGATTAGCACGGATTTGTAGCCATAATATAGCTACAACGTGTACCTACTCTCAACTCTCAATACTGGTACTGGTAAGGCTTACCATTGCTAGGGTTCCTGATAACTACTGTTGGTAAGCAAAAATGTTTGTGTGAGAATTTCTTGAAGACAGGAGTCGAATGGTGGATTCAAACTCACGGCGTTTTAATTTAGTGGCCCTTAACTTTAACTGTTAGGCTGCTATTGCTTTAAATGTAAGCCAAAAGTGTAAGCACCAACACAATAAACTTAACCTCCTAATCTACCCATGTGTGATTTAAGATTAATAAGATTGGGTACACCGTCGAAGCACGGAGATAATTACGAAGATAAAAAACAAATGCAATAATCTATAATACAACTATAATTCCATTCAATTGTTATGAAGTGATAAATGTAATTCTCACTTTAAAAAAAAAATTAAAAAAGAAACCTAAATTTTGGTTTTACACTGTATGGGGTTCGCTTTTGTAACTGTTAGTGAATCCTGATATTCATAGAATTATATAATCTATAATCAAAATGAATAAAATATTTTTGACTAGCTATTCCCCGTGACTTCTTTCGCGTGTAATTTATTACGATTGGATTTCATGGGTTTTAATTTATTTGTACGGAACCCCAATTTTTTTTCTGAAATAAAAATAGCTTAAGTTTTTCCTTATAACATCAGCTATCTGCCAGTGAAAGTCTCGTCAAAATCGGTCCAGCCATTCCGGAGATTAGTCAGAACAAACAGACAGACAGACAGACAGACACAATTTTTAAAAATTTTGTTTTGTTATATTATTTATATTACTATTACTGATTACTGTATATACTTTCATATGCATTTAGTAGAAAGCTGTTGTTTAATGTTACAAACAGACATTTCAATTTTATTTATTTGTATAGATTTTGAATTTAAAATAAATACTTATAAAAAAGTTGGTACGTCATTGGTACGTCATATATTCAGGATACGCGAAGTCGGAAAAAAAAATTAAAACTGTATTTTAAATTAAAATTTTAACCGAAACAAAAAGATCGTTCTGAAAGATCTGAAAATAATGAAACAATTTTCACATAATAGCTTCGGAAGTCGGTGTCAAGACATAGTTTTTGGAAAAATTATACACCGACTTCGGAAACTGTTATGTGGATAACTATTTTATTCTTTTTACTCTTTTCTCGAATTTTACGTTTTGTTAAAAGCTTAATTGTTTGAACCTTTTAAGTGGACTAAGAAAAATTATATAATACATTTAAATAGTAATAACTACAATGTCGTATAAATAATGCTGCAACTATATTATGGTTGTAGCACGAATGGGTCGGCTCGACCGGGGAAGGACCACGCTCTCACAGAAAACCAGCGTAAAATAGCAGCTTAACGCTGCTGTGTTTCGTATGGTGAGTGTAGAGAACCGGACACCCTTTTTACTGGCAAAGAGGCATTCCATCTTAGTACTCACGGGTGACAACGCATCTGCATCTTGAGTCTTTATTGAGGATAGATGTAGATGTTTATGGGTCACAGTAACCACTTACCATCAGTTGGACTGTGTGCTCGTTTGTCACCCGATCCTTTAAAAAAAAACATAAAATAAAATCTTTTTTACATAGTTTCCCACACTTGACAGTGATTGAGCCACGTGGCAGCTTTTGCTGTCGCACGGATGGGCCGGCTCGAACCTGGGTGGTACCACGACCTCACAGAATACCACCGTGAAGTAGAGGTTTACCTCTGCGATTCGCTTGGTGAGTGCAGTTGGCCGGAGGCCCTTTTTACTGGAAATGAAGCATTCCATCTTAGTCCTCACGGGTGACAACGCATCTACATTTTGATTTGTAATAGAGGATAGATGTAGATGTCTATGGGCCGCAGCAACCACTTACCATCAGGTGAACTGTGTGCTCGATTGTCACCCTTATCCTATAAAAAAAAAACTTGGGTGTAGAAATTTCTCGGAAATTTATATGGTAACACTCTGAAGTATGATTTAATTAAAAAAAAATTTAATCGGTTGACAATTGATGAAATTATCGCTTAACATACGAGAACATTAAAAAAAAGAACTCCA